CCCCAAAACCCCAAAACCCCAAAACCCCAAAACCCCTTAATAATAGTAAAGTTTTGAAATATTTATTAAAATGGACGCATCCTTCAAACTTGTTAAGAAGCTTCCTAATATGTAGGTGTGAGGGATCAGGTTTAGATTGGGGTAATGAGGGAGCATAGCTGGCTTAGTTAGACTTTAGGCATGAAATAAGGTGGGGAAGGAGGAAGTGATGGAGGTGGGTTAGAGGGAATAATTTAGTGGATAAGAGTTGTTTTCACGAAATTTTCAAAAATCGATTTTGGAGCACTTTTAGGCTAGAAAGGAGGTTTTCTGAGGTATTAGAATTTGATTTTGCAATAGGATGGCTAATCTATAATTCTACTATAGAATTGCTCATATTTTTCAGACAAAGATTGCTGAAGGTGACCAGTTGCAAAGAAGACATAAAAATCCAAAGACTTATTTCTGTGCGAAATCAGCTCCGACATTATCAATTAAGAATTATCTTTTCCATCTGATCAAGAATTTAAGAACCCCTCCATCAACACTGATCTTGATGATGATTTATGTTGAGAGATTCTTACAAAGCTTGACTCAGGCACTTGCTTCAACTGGGAGTCAGTATCAATACCTTCTGACTTCAAACAATGCACATAGAATAGTTATGAGTGCTCTCCTGCTAGCTCATAAGTACTCTATTGATGCAACATACCCATTTGGCGTACTTGGGAAAGTAGTTGGGGTTTCTGCAGAAGAACTCAAAATTCTCGAATCAGAATTCTTGGTGTTTGTTAAATTTGATCTCTACGTCTCAGAGGACTTCTACTCAAAGTACGAAGAGGTATTCACACATTGGCCTGATCTTGGAGATGATAATGCAGAAGAGATTCGAATGGAGGCTGATCAATCTTCTTGGAAAGTTGAAAGAAAACTTGAGGATTCCAAAGGTATTGGCAATACAACACCTGTTAAGAATAATGCTGTTCCAACGGATGAAGATCTAGCAATGACTGGCAATGAAAATACCTTCTTGTCACCTCAGTTCTTGGACGAATGGAGCATGGAAGAGGATGAAGTGAACCCTCCTCCTAGAAATAGAAGAGGTGTCGCCGATAGTCCCTCTTCAACTGTCCAAAATTTGGACATCAGATCTCACTTTTATGAAGATGATCCAGAGAGTGAAGGTGAAGACACAGAAATGCCTCAATTCGGTAAGCCTTAATGAATAATTAATTATAGATCTGAGTGATCTCGGAGAAGATGAATACTTTGATGATGTATTTATTCAAACTTATTAAAGCATTACTCATTTTAGGATAATAGGGTCACAAAGACCTTTCCTTAATTTTAGAATAACTGTTTCTTTCTCTAAACTAATTTTCATGTACTTTTATGATGACAAGGACCCATTTGTAAAGTTTTATTAATCATCTCCAATTTTTTCTAAGATGAAAGGGGTTTTGGGGTTTTGGGGTTTTGGGGTTTTGGGG